CATATGTAGTATTCACTCACTAAATGAACAGAAAATCACCAAATACTGCACAGATATCAAACAATATGAGATAAACGCTCTGGAAATTCATGGATTCATATCTTATCTTATCAGTACGTTCTAATTTATTCAGATATGAAACGTTTTTCTGGACTTAACAACTAATCATTACAACAAGAAGTAATAATTAAAGGTAAGAAATTCTTTTATTTTCTATAATTTCCTGTCATGACAGAACAAAAGTTGAAGATGATCATTAAATGACATTAATTTCTTGACAGATTGGTTGATCTATAATTCGTATATCATTTAATCATTAATTTGTCAGTATTTTGTATACAAGCAAGTTATTCTAACAAAGCCGAAAATTTTATTCATCTGGCTAGTGGTTATATCTTTGATCTCAAATTACTTGAAGGTTTATTTCAATAATTTGGTAACATGAGTAGCCGGATTGCATCACTGAATATCATCTTTCTATCAATATCATATCATGATTCTGTATTCTAGAATATTTATAGTTACAGAAATTTAAAACAATATCAAATTTCATTGATGCTCGAGACTGTAATCGATCATTCTGTTTTGTCATATGAACATCCTGTAAGAATTGCCTCAATATTGTCAGTAAGTCAGTAGCATTACAAGCAGAGAGAGATGTTGGCTAGCAGTGGAATCCAGGACATGATATTCGTCCTATTTGGGACTCATCAGCTGGACGCACTTCCATCCCCGAGTTGAAATATCAAATTTAGGTTCACTTGATTGCCTTATTCATTTAATAGAACCATTAAGCTATAAAATTAAAAATAGTTTAACTAGCGGTTGTAGAGTTTAGATTGATCTCATGAGTGGAATCCTTGGTAGTGCACATCCACGATCCCGCAAGCGGGGATCGAACATAGGACTTTCGGTATCGTGATACCAATTTAAACTCGACAATCTCTGCAACCTTATACTGGTAATTTTCATGTGCTCACTAGTGATTGGATTCAAGATGGATTTCCTGGAGTTCTAGTGAGAAGCCGTGATCGGTGCAGGTCAACCGTATCTGTTGTGAGGCAGTTACTCACCGAAGGCAATGGTGGACGGTCGCTCAATATCGTGGATTGGTTGGAGTTTGACATTAACACCGTTGGATACCGGCTCAGTGGCCTAGAGGTTAAGCGTTCGTGTGCGAGACTGAAGGTTCTGAGTATGAATCTCGCTTGCAGGATCGTGGATGTGCACCACCGAGGAGTCCCGTACTGGGATGAGGCGGCCGTCCAGTGCCTCCAGGTTTTTAATGTTGGTCTAACATTGATCTATTCATGATATTAATCTAATGCAAACGTGTACATTTACGTCATTTGAATAAGCGTATTTCTCGCTCAACTTTGTTTCACTTTCTCTACTGCAATCGGTATGACAGTATGAATTTCTCAATTTTCTATTTGATAGTTCTTTTTTTTAACATAATGAAATATGGATGTGAACAATCTCAGTGAGAAAAGTGATGTTATTAGATTCATTTTTACTTCAATGCATTTTTACACTGAATTAAATATGTGATAAACTGTTGAAGCATATTTATTTTGTTTAATTAGAAAAAATCATGATTGATAAATTCAAAAAACTAATCTTTTGTCTTAGCTATATCGAATAAGTGGAACGGAAACAAACCAGAGTAAAAGACGTAGAACACATATTGCAGAAAGCATCAAACTGTATCACAAAGCTAGCCAGAACTTGGAGTCCTCAAGTCAAAAGGAAAAGAGAAAGAACCAAAGAACACAACGCTCCAAGAATCGGAAGCAGATATCAACATAATGAATAGTACCTGGAAAGAACTGAAGAGGAGAGCTCAGGACAGAGTAGGTTGTGAATTCTTGTTCGGTGGCCTATGCTCTATTAGGGGTAATAAGCCTAAGTAAACAAGTGAGAAAGTAAGTGAGCCATTGAGTCATTGATACATTATTGTTTTTTTGCTTTAGACTAGGTAAAATAACACACAAAAACATTCAAATATAGATATATATGTGGTATATGCTACTTATGCTGACAGATATAAATAGTATGTAGCTACAAATGGAAATAGAATGCCTGGAAGCAGAAGATTGAAATATAGAGAAAAGAGAGAGAGAGAAACAGAGAAGAATTGGGATAACACCCAGATCGGAAGAATGAATAATTGTGAACACGAAAATTGAATGAAGATGTGTAAATAATGTATTTAATGTATAACTTTCACATTTTAGTAATTCACTGTGTCATTATGCATTAAACAATAAATCGAAATTCCCCATATGAGTTCTCGTTCACTACATATGTATACGAATAATGCTTATCTCAATGAAAGAAAAACTCTCAATAGTCCATCTTTTATAAATTACTGTAGTTTTCTATAAATGCTTATCATATTCTTACAATTATAGACAAATAACTATGATATTTCCCAATTAGCTAATTATGCTAAACAAAAGTCAGTTTAAATAATTAACGTGAAATAGATGAGTTGAAGGAGCATCTAAAATAAAACACTAAAATTGAATAGGGAACTTTTCACAATCTATGCATAGAAAATGATAGAGAACACAATGGAACAAATGAATGTGATTGAATCTTATGGTTAAGATATTTTTCTCAAGAGATTAAGACTGCCAGTCACAGAGCATTTCAATAGAAATCTTAGATTTTAGTATAGTGTAAATGATTTGTGGTGACGGAAAAAGAGGGAGAGAGAAGAAAGGCAAGTGAAAAAAGGAGTGATGACAATCAACTGAACAATACTACTTAAAATAAATGACATGTATATGAAGAAAAATAGGTTGGTTGACAGTCGGATAGAGGGTATTTCAACCAGATAAACAACAGTAATTTGCTTATTTCCTTAGAAAATATACAATTATTATCGGTACAGAGAATTTTAGGAATCACTGAATGATATCGATATCACTAACCGATCCAAGTTTGACATCCATTAATAGCTAGAAATTTATACAAAATTGTTTCGTCCTATTATTGAACACAGCAGCCGATTTTAATGGGTACTGAAGGGGATCAGATCCAAGATCTATATGTCATTCAGTGAGCACTCTTACTCCTGACCACTGAGCCGGAATTTGACTGTGTGTGTAATTTGACTGTGCAGTTTCATACCAAAGAAAAATGAAAGATGATTGCATAATATCATGAAGTAGTTGAAGTTAGACATATGCATCATTGGACCCAGGTCAGTGGACTAGAAACTGGGCCTTCACGTGCAAGACTGGAGGCCTTGGGGGTCGGTCACCTTTAGTGGGTTTGTAGATGCATACTACTAAGATATTCTATGCTAGTAAGCAATAGTTGCCCAGTGCCTTCTAAAGTTTGGAGGACTTCTAACATAGGTTAATTCGTAATAACTGTCACAAATAATTGTTATTTGTTATAAATTTACTTATTTCTCAGACGAAATTTATTTACACTCAACATACTACTGTTCAATTGTGAAGCTTCTTATTTTTCTGTTGTTATCCTTTACTTTTTAGTGGCGTATTTGAATATTGAACGAATTGGCTTAATATTACCATTTAGTCATAAGTATTTAGTATTATTAGATTCAATTAGTGGTCATTATCCAACTTTCTCAAATAATACTATCCAGTTATTAGTTTTAACCAAAAGTTACCTATTTAGTTTTATCTATTACGTTTACTAGTCTAATTAACTCATTAATTCACAATAAATAATTAATAACGAATTCCCACTGCATACTTACGTGATATTAATAAGAAATTTGCTTATATGTGGATATTTAATCAGTTATTAGAAGACAGAAAGCTTAAAATTTATCATTTAGAATGTCTTGGAAACTGATATTAACACTACTAGTAACAAGCTATGATCTTTGGATTTCAGTCATGTCGGAAGTTAGTTAGGTGTCGACCAATGATTTTAAAATATGGTTAAAAATATTTTAAATTGAAGATAGAAACTTATACCATTGGATACTGACTTCGTGATCTAAATATTTAACGCTCTTTGTGAGACTTGAAGATTGTAGTTTCGATCTCCGGTGGAGTCGTATATGCATATTGATTTCGAAAGAAACATTTGTTCGGTGCTTCATTGTTTGTTAGATGGTATTTAACCGGAAGCTTTAGATTTAGGTCTCATGTCATTTGGCGCTCGTTAGCAAGGTGAACTTGTAATCTTGGCTGAAACAATGCTTTCTGAATGATATGATCCAGTGTTAAACAGCTTCTCAGTCATAGACATTACCACTGTGCTATTTGAGTTATGAATAATCTTGTTTTTAGTGGTTGTTTAACTAAGGTCAGTCAATAATATAAACTATAGAACTGACATATACATTCCTAGAGGCCAAATTGAAATTTTGCAAACAAACAAACTTTTCTTGATTTTACAGTGACAATAAAGTACAAAGTACACTACACTTTTGCAATTGGTAACAACGTTACTAACATTATTCACAAATAGATTTCATTTTATCTAGTTAACATTTACCTTATTGTTCCAAATTTGTTAGTTGATATTAGCAAAATATTTCAGTAAGAAACGACTTATTTGTATTCTCAGAAGGGGGTTTTGTGGAGATATTAGTAATTTTATATAGTTGAGATCATGAGTCAATTGAAGCTAGACCACCATGGAAAACCTGAAAGCACTGGTTGAATGGTTGCTCAATTTCGTGGATTGATTGAAGTTAGACATTAATATCATCGGATGCTGGCTCAGTGGTCTATCGGTTAGGTGCTCTGACGCGAGACTGATAGGTCCTGGGTTCGAATCTCGAGGGGTGGGATCGTGGATGCGCAATGCTGTGGAGTCCCACAATAGGACGAAATGGCCGTCCAGTGCTTCCAGGTTTTCTATGGTGGTCTAGCTTCAATTGACTCCTCATATCAACCATATACAATTATTTGTATCCAACCTGATTACTCGTTGAAGATAATTGTTTGCACACATAAGAAATCAATCAACTATTAACAACTAGAAAATAGTATTGACAATCTTACCTCTCGATCTTCACGTTCACATTCAAATCTAAAAAAAAGGAGATAAATAATGAAGAAATATATATGAAGTGAAATAAAATTGCCTAGTCATTATCTACAAGAGATAAACCGGAAATAAGATATCTGAATAATTATATCTTTGATTATTTCATCACGTGTTTTATGTCCTTGTTACACAGAAAGTATCAGTTACTAAAAGATTGTAGATACACCTAAGTGATAAGTATCAATTAAAATACATTGAATATTCAAGGCTTCCTACAGTTTAATATCAAATAACCAAGTGAATAGTAGTTTTCTTTTGCCATACAAAAATCTATTTCTTTAACCGTAAGAATTTTGTTATTGTTTATTATTTCACAAAATGTGATATTTATAGTTAGAACAATATTGTTGTATATTCCAGGTCCAGTATACCGAAGTATCGTTTACATTACTAACAAAATCATTCAAGGCAGCCCCCATTTACGTCCAAAGATGTATATTTTCAATTTATTCACCACATGTCTTGTGATAATTGTTGTGGATAAATTTTCAGGCAAGTCAGTTATTCTCTTTCTCACAATTTACAATAATATAGTTCGAATTAAATGTAGTGAAGTAATAGAACCCGTAAATTATAAATAATTCAACCGTCTTATTTATTTAAACACATGAAGATTGGTACAAAGCGGCACCAGATATATATATATATATATATATACGCAACACAAGTCTCATTTGATTTGTGTGAGGGCTGTGTCCGTGTCCGTGTCCACCAACCCGGTTAAAGCGCCGGACATTCGCTTTTCGTTCTCTCAATTTCTTAAACAACACCCCCGTCACGAGAAGTCAGTGAGTAGGACTACCCTAGCAGAGGCTATATACGCGTGGCCATGTGAGAGCATTTTGAGAGGGAGAGCGAACATTTCCCACTCTCAGAGGTACCAGCGCATTTGGGGGCATTCAACTGTCTGCAATATGATCAATATAAACTCTGTGAAATTGTTTTTCAAACAAAAAAGATGATGAACAACAAGTAATGGTTATTATTATTGAAAGAAATTAGGGGGGATTTTGTTTACATACTGTTGGATAAATGGATTATAGATTTTAATTGTAGTTCAATCATTATCATTTTAATGATAAACTAATAGATCTAAGTTAAACAAACACCGAAAACCAGAAATTACTGAGCGGTCGTTCTATCCAGGTACAGGACTTCTCAGTAGTTGAGGTTAGACAATAACACCGTTGGATGCCGGCTCTGTGGTCTATCGGATAAGTGCTCTGGCGCGAGACTGGTAGGTCCTGGGTTCCAATCCCGCGAGGCGGGGTTGTGGATGCGCACTGCTGAGGAGTCCCATAATAGGACGAAACGGCCGTCCAGTGCTTCCAGGTTTTCTATGGTGGTCTAGCTTCAATTGACTCATGATCTTAACTATAAAACTTCTCAGTAGTGTTGACCCACAATTCGGTACCTGAAAATTGAACCCAGGTAGTTTGGTTTTGCTTAATCTACCTTGATCTCCAGACCTATGAGTCCTGATAAAATGATGTAGAAATATAACTTCAATTTGTCTAAGATAGTGGGCGACCATCTTCTTTTGTTTACAGTTATTCCCTCCTCACACTCGACACGAATGTAATCTTTTGGTCTCAGCTCCTCACTAGAACCCTGAAAGTTTCCTTTCAAAGTCAACTGCTTGTGAGCTCACAACAATTGACGGTATGGTCTAGAGGTTAAGCGTTGGTGGGCGAGATGGAATCTTCAGGGTTTGGTTTCCTTTTGAGAGAGTGTGGAGGCATGACGTTCAGGAGTCACACACTGGGACAAAACGGCCATACATTGCATTCGAATTTTCGATGGTTGTCTAAATTTGGTCAGTTCGTGATTTTATTGAAATCCAACAGTCTTAACAACCCAAAACTGACAATAAGCTGATAATTTACTCTTAAGTGGTCTTTGTAATATAATAACAAAATGAAAGTGTTATGGTGTTCGTTATAGTCACCGACATATACTTTGATACTATTGCTTACAACGACAGAAAAATTTGAGACTTTATAGTTTTTAGTGTCATAGTCCATTTTTATTCATTGTCGACTTAAATCCTAAAATAAATGTACTATTTTACAGAGAACAATTTTCATGTTTATAAATGGGAATAATTTGAGTGAGTCTATCATTTATGGACGACCTTTAAACAATTCTACATTGACCTACTTACAGGAGTAAAATGAGGGCTACAAATTAGTTTAAGGAATCAGTATTTACAGCTGGACATTAGGGTTAGGAGTTAGATTCGAAGATTTTTTTATCACGAATTGACATCCGTTATAATACCAAAATGCTATCTAAACATATGGATGAATGAATTTCCCACCCAAATTTAACACCAGTTATCTTAAATCTGATTGGTTCGTACATAAATTATGGACTTGTCATGATAACCAGTACATGCTATTCATTTTAATTTTTAATGATGTCACAGAGCAGAATCCAGTCAATAAGCGCTGAAAACTCTGAAGCATCAAGTAACTTCCATTTAAAGTTTATGATTTTTAAGGAACATGTATTCAGAAAGCAAACCTAGAATACCAAAATAGTTAGAACATTGTAGAAAAACTTTTAAATTTCAATGAATTTTATAATACTGTCGTTGCTTGATTAATTAGTTTCCCATATAACATGGCAACGTGTCAGGAGGTTCTGGGCTACGAAAAACATCATCATAAGGAATGGATCTCTATGGAAACCCTGGACAAGATTCAAGAAAGGAAGAACAAGAAACTAGCAATTAACAACAGCCGAACACGAGCAGAGAAAATCAAAGCACAAGCAGACTACGCAGAAGCAAACAAGAAAGTGAAGAAAAGCATTAAAGCCGACAAGCAGAAATACATGGGAGAACTAGCAACGACGGCGGAAAACGCTACAAGAGAAGGGAATATGAAACAAGTATATGATACAACGAAGAAATTGGCACGGAGATATAACAAACCAGAGAGACCAGTCAAGGATAAAGAAGGAAAGACAATCACTGAGATTCAAGAACAGAGGAAAAGATGGGCAGAATACTTTGAGGAACTGCTGAATAGACCAGCCCCATCGAATCCACCGAACATCGAAGCAGCACACACTGACCTTCCTATAGATGTCACTCCAACAACAATCGAAGAAGTCAAGATGGCCATCAGACAAATCAAGAATGGGAAGGCGGCAGGACCTGACAATATACCAGCTGAAGCACTGAAGTCAGACATTGAAATAACTGCAAACATGCTTCACCTTCTATTCAAAAAGATTTGGGAAGAGGAACAAGTGCCAACGGACTGGAAAGAAGGATATCTCATCAAGATACCAAAGAAAGGAGATCTGAGCCAATGTGAGAACTACAGAGGTATCAGTTTGTTATCAGTACCAGGAAAAGTTTTCAACAGAGTGCTGCTGAATCGGATGAAAGACGCAGTAGACGCCGAACTTAGGGATCATCAGGCTGGATTCCGTAAGGATCGGTCGTGCACAGACCAAATTGCGACACTACGGATCATCGTTGAACAATCAGTTGAGTGGAACTCATCACTATACGTCAACTTCATCGACTATGAGAAGGCGTTTGACAGCGTGGATAGGAGAACATTATGGAAACTTCTTCGACACTATGGAGTTCCTCAGAAGATCGTCAACATTATCCAAAACTCATACGATGGATTACAGTGCAAAGTGGTGCATGGAGGACAGCTGACAGATGCATTTCCAGTAAGGACCGGAGTCAGACAAGGCTGTCTACTCTCCCCATTCCTCTTCCTTCTAGTGATTGACTGGATTATGAAGAATTCGACATCTGAAGGGAAATACGGAATACAATGGACAGCTCAGAATCAATTAGATGATTTGGACTTCGCAGATGACCTAGCCCTCCTCTCTCATGCACACGACCAAATGCAGATGAAGACAGCAAATGTAGCAGCAGCCTCTGCATCGATGGGCCTTCACATTCACAAAGGAAAAAGCAAGATTCTCAAATGCAACATGGAGAACACCAACACAATCACACTTGATGGCGAAACTCTGGAAGAGGTGGAAACATTCACGCACATGGGAAGCATCATTGATGAGCAAGGAGAATCTGATACAGATGTAAAGGCAATGATTGGCAAAGCAAGGACAGCATTTCTACAATCGAAGAACATATGGAACTCAAAACAACTGTCAACTAATTTCACGGTCAGAATCTTTAATCCGAACGTCAAGACAGTCCTACTGTATGGAGCTGAAACGTGGAGAACTACTACGACCATCATCAGGAAGGTACAAGTATTTATAAACAGTTGTCTACGCAAAATACTCAACATCCATTTGCCGGATACTATCAGCAACAGCGTTTTATGGGAGAGGACAAACCAGCTTCCAGTTGAAGAGGAAATTATGAAAAGACGTTGGAAGTGGATAGGACATACATTAAGGAAATCACCAATGTGCATCACGACTCAATCCCTAACTTGGAATCCGGAAGGGAAACGAAAAAGAGGAAGGCCAAAAAACACATTACGCCGGGAAATAGAAGCAGATATGAAAAGGATGAATAGCAACTGGAAAGAACTGGAAAGGAAGGCTCAGGACAGAGTTGGATGGAGAATGCTGGTGAGCGGCCTATGCTCCTCGACGAGGGATAACAGGCGTAAGTAAGTAAGTAATTAAGTAAGTAAGTATATACCATGGATTATTGCTGGAACATTGGTAAACTGATTTCAAAGAAAGTAAGTACGGGGTAGGGTAATATGATTCAGTAAGTTGGTTGATATAATGGGGAAGATTTTAATTGGTTGGATAGTGTTTCCCTCTAATCTCCCATAACGATTATTTACGTTTATTTTCATAATTAAATGAGTACATGTATGTATTCTGTTTTATTAATAACCTATATTCTTAAATAGGAATAATATATTTGTAAAAACTCAGCGAATGAATTTTTTAAATTAAATCCAACGTTTCGCCTGGCAATCTGGTCCAAGCTTTTTCAAGGAATTATAATGAAACATCAAAATTATCGAATATAAATAGGTACATGGTTTTCCGAGTTCATTATACACTGAATAGGTCATCCAATCAACGTTAACAATAGTCTAAACTAGGTAGGGCTTCGGCTCGAGACTGGTAGGTCCTGGGTTCGAATCTCGCTCGCGAGAGCAGGTTCGTGGATGCGCACTGCTGAGGAGTCCCATAATAGGACGAAACGGCCGTCCAGTGTTTCCAGGTTTTCCATGGTAGTCTAGCTTCAATTGACTCACGCTTTCAACAATGATAAATACTAAATCTCCACAAAACCCCTTCTATAATTAAACTAGGTATGTTTAAGAGATATGTGATGTGAAGTGATGAGTGTTCATATAATATATTGTATACGTTTTCTATACAATGTCTTACTTCAACTCGGCGCTCAAATACTGTGAAACTATTCGTTCTAATTTAGACGAGAGTTCTTATATAAACCTATATTCTTGACTATTAGTTTTGTCTATGATCCTAAAAGATTAAGATGCTTGTATCAATAGTTCGGTTTTTTATATAGAGCCATTCCTTGAATATTTCTTATTATCGCATAACATCTATCGATAGATATTATTTTCTTTTTGTTTTAATAATCGTAAATTAATCCACCAAATCATGAAATTCTATTCAATAGCAATATTAGATTTAGGCTTCTGTAATGCACGTGTCCCAATGAGCTACAACTTTCGTAACTTCTGCTAATCATATTCTTATTTATTTGCTATTTGAATATTTAATTTTAGATTTCATATACTTTTTACTCACAAAAAAGAATCACTAACTATGTTTATCAACCTTTTTTAAACAGTTTACTCCATATAACATTTCGATATTGTTGATAATGAACCAAATCCTGTAACTACTCACTAAGTTACTAGCTGATTAAATTACAAGGGAAACCTTTTTATTTTAAATGATGGGCGTGAATATTTGAAATTTGTCAATTAATCTATATCATTGAAATATTTCTCTGTGTCGTCAAATATGTCTGTAAGCCTATGATAATGTTTACAACATACAATTACTTGATGAAGTAAATGGCATAAATTCTAATTTTACAAATCAATCAAGTTACATATTCTGTATGGATGTAATCTCTGAAAGGAATGCATAGTAATAAGTTTTGTTGTTTTCTGAATAAACACAAACAGTCACTGGGTTGTTATAAATCTTTGTTCTTCCATTTGTATATGTAAATCAGTAATGATAAATATGATTTACTAGGGAGTTATTATTTATTATTATTTGTCGTCAAATCTATGAAAGAAACGTAAATGATGATCATTGAATACTAAAAACGATGCTTAGAGAAATGTTAGACAGCGTCTTTCTTAGTTGTCAATAAACCCTTAGTATTATATATTGACGAAAAATGATTGGTTGATCACTGGTAAGTTATGAAACTCAGTTTGTATTTGTTATATAAGATAATTAAACCTTATCTATAAAGATGTAAACAAACTACTGGTCTAATTAAATCGACATCATACAAAGAGCAGAAATCCTTAGGATATTGCAGACACACTGTACTGACGAGTATTAATCAGCGTAAAACCTATATCGAACAAGGTTTCTTGTTGGTTATCTCTAATCATCTAACAAACCTGATCATATAGTATTTTAAAAACAAATAATCAGGTAAATAGAAGCATAAACGTATTGATACAGACATTACTAACAAATATTACTGGCTTTACTGTTATGATTTTCTCATTCTATTCACCGAATTTTGTTTGCGTTCAATTTAACTGTTGTAATATTGATGATTTAAAGTGTAATAGCTAGTGATAATCTGAAAGTGAATATTTTTCGTTGTTTTAAAAGTGTTCTACAACTTGTGTTCGAATCTTGTTCAGAAATATAATAATAATTATCAATTAATTGAATCTTTTCTCAATGAATAACCTACCATATAAGAAAGGTATCAGTTAGAATTAAATTTACTACCGACTTTGAGAGACGTTGCAAGTGACCTTGATTTGTTGAATCTTAATTAGTCAATGAAAATGCAAATAGCTATGATGAAGAGACTTTTTCTAAATCGATATTTAGACTTTAGGATAAACATTTACTTGATTTATGAATTTTTTCAATGTAAGAGGTTTTGGCTTATTTCAAAGCTATTGAAGCTTTGACAAGGGAAATTATCTATACAACTTTAGAAAAGTTTCCTTTCTACATTTATTATTAGGAGTTAAATGGTTGAATAGACGTTTCCTACTATCTCAATTTATAGACTCTCTCAAAAGTCTACGAAATGGTTTAGTGAAACAATATATTCATGTATATTGAAATCTGTAGAAGAATATTTGAGGCATAATCACCAAGTTTTACGGGACAAAACTTTGAAAAAACCGAAAAGGTATCTTTACTGATTCACATTGTCTATGTATATATATGTGATAGAAATACGTTGATCAAAAGAGAGACGGAAGGAATAAGTATTTCTTTTCCATTGGTCTTTCGTCACATTTATACATCATTACATATATATTTTCCAACCTTTTAGTTTGATAAGGACTGATGACTAATAAAATAAGGTGAATTAACGTTGGTCTCCTCAAATCTTTGTTCTTGTTCTCTCTTCTAAATAATGGAAGGAATTATATGTTCTATGTTTTCCTATCTGATTTTCAATTATAATAAAATATTTTTTAATGATGTAGTAGTGTCACATAATAATACTTAATTTGTAAAATGTTAATCGATTGTCCCAAACGTGACTGTTCCTCTTGCAAATATCAGTCAATCGTTTCAGACTTCATTATCTCTCCTTTTTATACCAATTGCTTTCTGTTCCCGTTCTTTTCTGCACGATCTTCACGACCTCCTGCTGCCAGACATTCTATTACTAGACTAGCGTCATATACTACTTATATAGACATAAGTAGCACCACCACAATATTTAAGTTGATCATTGATATTATATTAATAAAAAAGGCTAATCAAAGTGTTTTGCTTTACTTACTCAATAGTGATAGGATAATTAAATAGTTTAAAATAACTTCTTGTCAACTGATAGATCTCAGATGATTTGAAATTATCATTTTGAACTATTCTCTTTGTAAACAATATAGTATTATTAACTGTAGCATAGAATCTTAGTTGAATATTCTTTGTTAGTATCATTACTCACAATACTCAAATATGCAGCGATAGCTTGTCTCTTCAGATAAGTTTATGTGCAATGGTCAACTGAAGTACTAATAACAAACATGAACACACTTTATACTTATTTAGTTGTCAATTTCAAACTCCTTCTACTGGCGTCTATATAAATTTGATCGTCAGGCACTGAGACTGGAAATATATTTTCATGTCAAGGAGTTGACGTCTAATGATCTCGTTTTTAAATAATTCGTAATGCATTGAGATACTCATTAACCTTTTAATCATAATATATCGCATACAATGCGAAGATGTTTAGTAACATCAAGTTATATGGTCCTCTGCAATGATGACAACATATGTTTAATAAAGTTGTAACTTTAACAAACCATTCAGTTATAGATCATTTTTATTTAGATTAGATGGATTTTAAAAGTAATTACGAAATAGTTTGTACATGTACTAAATTAATTTGTATATTATAAGGATGTATAATGCATAAATAAATAAGAATATTTATTCACTTAGTATTGTTTGTTTGAATCTTCCCATTGATGTTTAGGATTGCAGCTGGTCAGCCTCTAATTGGAATATGTGCATACTGTGCGTATTGCCTCGATATATCCTTAATTCACAAGCATTATAAGCAAAGATGGACTCGGTAGCTGAGTCACTAACGTGATGGCGTTTGAAGTGAATGGTACTGCGTTCGAGTGAACAGTGAACATCAATTCTGAGATATAGGTACATCCAACTGACGAGTCCCAAATCGAACGAAACGCGCGTCCTGGATTCCACTACTAACCACTATCCATCTTTGCTTATAAGAATATTTATTGTTTAATTGTATTCTCATTTACAGACTTATGATCATACATGACAGAAAATTGATATGAAATTCAATGACGAATAAGTAAAAACAACAAAATTATGGTTAGCAATAATCTCTAGGATGTACATTTCATCTTATCAAGAAACTTATAAACCGAATATACATTTATTCAACTGTTAATATTCAAATTTAAACTCGTAATCAGAATCTCCCACTTCAAACACTTAAACACACTTTTTATTCAATTAACTATTGTGTCCAGATAGTTACTAACTTGTTGAAAAAAGTATAAATTTAGTTCCATTTATAAAAAAATCGAACAATAATTTCATTGTCAGAAGGGGATTTTGCGGAGATCTTAGTAAGTTTATATAAATGAAATCGTGAATGAATTAAAACTAGACCATCATGGAAAACCTGGAAGCACTGAACGGCCATTTCGTCCTATTGTGGGACTTCTCATCAGTGTGCATCTACGAACCCGCCTCACGAGATTCGAGCCCAGGCAGGATCATGGATGCGCACTGCTGAGGAGTCCCACAATAGAACGAAACGGTCGTCCAATGCTTCCAGGTTTTCCATGATGGTCTAGCTTCAATTGACTCATGATATCATCCATATAAAATAATTTTATCGATTCAATTACCAACTGACTAAAAATTCAATCAAGAATAACTCCAACTATGACAAATGAAAATATACAAAAGGAAACTTACATTTCTGTTGTTATAATTTGTTTCTCTTCAAAACAATATTCTAAATTAAGACGTGTAGTATAATTTGGTGAAAGATTATTATAAACAAGTTCAGTTTCAGTTACCTGAAAATAATTAAAAAAAAAGAAAGTATTCATTATTACAATTCATTTAGTTATACAGGTTAAATTATTATGAAAATAATAATGCATTTTAAAGAGATCCCCATAGAATATTCAAAAATGAACAATATTTGAGCGAACAATTGTTGTCATCAGGCTTCATCATCAGGCTCTACAATTATAAGTCTATAATTATTATGATATTTTACAATGGCCAAAATGAGGCATGTATTAATGTATTTGACAATGTTAAAAATGGTGAACGTTTGCATCAGTTACGACATATATACTTCAATAATTATGGACTTATAACTGTAAAGCCTGATGATGAAGTTATTGAAAACAACTATTTGCTCAAATATTGTTCAAATATTTATCAATAAGACATTGTTTAAAGATCCTTATCATATTGAAAGACTAACATTTGAACGAAGAATATTCTTTTCGATAAAGTAATTTCAGGTTCTACAATTATGTATCCAAATTAATAGTCCGAATAAATGTCCAGATTAAAGGGATCAGTAATTTTTTGTCAAAGTTTGTCAGGCTTAAATTCCTTCAAATGGCCGAAGCAGTAGCCATCCGGATGAAGAAAATAGAGCTAGGCGTACAGAAGAAATATCTCCAACCCCTTTTCTTCCCCTGAACAACCAAAAGGCCAATTAATCAATAGTAATTTTAGCTTTCGTACGACGTTTTGTAGTCAAATGTGATTGTCTTTTATATCTTTATCATAGTTGAAAGCGTGAATCAATTGAAGCTAGAACACCATGGAAAATCTGGAAACACTGGACGGCCGTTTCGTCCTATGTTGGGATTCCTCAGCAGTGCGCATCCACGAACCCGCCTCACGAGATTCGAACCCAGGACCTACCAGTCTCGAGCCGAAGCCCTTAACCTATAGACCACTGAGCTGGCATTCAACGGTGTTAACGTCTAACTTCAACTGATCCACGAAGTTGAGCATCTTTGTTTACAAATCTTAGTAATATCATTACTATTACTATTATTAATATTATTGGTTAAACATCACCATTAATCTCCTCTATACATCATTCATTCACTTCGCATTCATTCTTCCTTATTATGTCTTACTAATTTTTCACATAATATAGTCTTCCATTAAACATTTGATCGAATTGTAATTGCAATATCATGTATCTCTCACCCTATCTGACCTATATTTACTTGGATCATGGATCTTAAATGTTCATTTAACATAAAGACATATTCAAGTTCACTTTCTATATGAGTCATATTAACATTACCAATTTTCTTCTATTGGGTTTGACAATCCTTAATTCACATGCTTTAAACAATGTACTTTGCCTTTAACCTGGCCATTTCTTTCGGATTATTAACTTGGATATATAATTGTAGAACCTGAAGAGAATTTATCGAAAAGAATATTCTTCGTTCATATATTAGTCTTTTAGTATATAGAATAATGTTGAGTTAATTAAAGAGTTAACTTTATAATGATCTATGAACTAATAGAAATCAGTATTCAAAAAAAAAACGCTTCAACCTACAAATAGTTTAATATACTTTGAATAATTTCCAAACTATCTATTAACTTAGATGTTAAGGTATTATAATACAATACATGACACTGTGTTTCTTCGATCCATAACTAGAATAATATACGCTGATAGTTAAGTATTTTTAATGATAGATTATAATCTACTAGAATAGTTTTATAAAACCATGAGTAGGATAATTACAGAATATTTTAAAGTCTCTGATGAAGTAGACTATACTAAGTTACGAAATATCGGAAATTTCATTTTCTACTCAATGGAATATGAAAGATATATCGATATTTGTTTAAATATCTTTTCATTACCAGTATATTTAATTCTACTGTCAGATGTTTTTTTATATTTTTTAATAGCGAATTTAAACATTTATCATCATGAAAGCAAATATTTTCCAGTTGATCTTAGAGACTAAATATGAAGACATTCAAATTAAGTCTATTCCCTGTTTGTGAGAAGGTTAAGCCAATTAAATTAAACTCTAAGACAAGAATATCACATGAATTAGGGGCATTATATTTGGAACAATTGACCCTGTATTCAAATTACGCATTAAATTAAAATATTTTCATAGTCGAATTCATGAGTCAATTGAAGCTAGACCACGATGGAAAACCTGGAAGCACTGAACGGCCATTTCGTCCAATCATGGGACTCCTCGGCAGTGCGTATCCACGATTCCGCCTCACGAGATTCGAACACAGTACCTACAGGTTGCTCAAATTTCGTGGATTGGTTGAAGTTATACATTGATACCGTTGTATGCCGGCTCAGTGGTCTATCGGTTAATTGCTCTGGTGCGAAACTGATAGGTCCTGCGTTCGAATCTCAGGAGGTGGGGTCGTGCATACGCAATGTTGAGGAGTCCCATAATAGGACGAAACGTCCGTTTAGTGCTTCCAGGTTTTCCACGGTGGTCTAGCTTCAATTAACTCATGCTTTCAACTATGAAAGTACTGAAATCTCCATTAAACCCGTTTTGATCTAAATTAAAATGGTTCACTAGAAGAGTTAGCCATAATATGTTGTATAACTGTTCAGAATTTCCTTACAAAGAAAATTTAGCGATTATATTTACTGTATAATTTTTTTTAAAAATTTCAAGTTGTTTTTAATCTAAATTACATTAGTTGCCGTTGTCTTTTTTGATTGAAATTATTATGGTATGTAGAGTTGTTCTTTATCTTTCCATTCAATAATTAAAAATCAAAGGTATGTTAAATAACAACTCCGCCTGTAGCTCCTCTAGAGTTACGTCCTGTCTCAAGTCCACACAAAGGTTGTAAAGGTTGTAGAAAAAAATCTTGCTAAAAAATGCCAACAACATTAAACAAATTAAACCATTTAAACTCTGTCCTGGGAGAAGAAGAGGATGACCGAAGAATACATTACGTCTGGAATTGAAAGCAGACGAGAAAAGGATTAATAGCAACTGGAAAGGATTGCCCAGGGTATAGTTGGATGGAGGATGCTGGTGGGTGGCCTATGCTCTTTTACGAGGCTTAGCAAGCGTAAGGAAGTAATGTAAAATATGGCTTATTTTACTTAAAGTATATTATAGTTTCTTGAGGTCTTAGTGTAACTATAAAGTGGAAATGTTATGTCATCTTGAACTTTTGAAGAAATTTTGTTATCCGATAAAGGAAAAGAGTTTATGAGTCATATGAACATTTAGTCAGAAATTAATGGAATATATAAATGTATAGTAGTTTTAGAGATTTTATTAATTTTTTTCAGTTTTTTACAACATTGATTATTTAGATCACAAGTTTTTCGAATCTCATTCATTTGAGTACAAATCGATTTCCTTTTTAAATACTTTTTTAAATGATTATAAATAATCTAATAAAATCATTCCTCGTAGCAACAAAATTTGTATTAAAAAAATTCAATAAAGAGTTGAGAAAGTGAATTTACTAGATACTAATATAGAGAAGTCATGTGTACGTATTCTTATTTTAATATCCTATCTATTATTTGAGTTAGGACTGTTATAACCAGAAGAGAATTATAAATGGTAACTTCTGAGGACTGTTTATGAACCAATATGTTATGTATATTTCCTATTGTATAATTGTTAAGTAACTAAAGTTTCCATATTAGTGTCCCTCTTATTATAAGCTTTCTTTTGACTTATAGAATAATACTGGACGATTTACCATTCCTGAGTTATACCCAGTCTATTAATTACTGTTCCCCCTATTCACAGATACATTTGGCTAAATCTTGTACAAATGTTATTTTCTATTTTATGGTACGATGTGGTCAGTTTGTTTAGTATATAAACCCAGTATGTTTGAGAATAATGATTCTTATTGCAGAGGCAGTTATTGGTGTTCCAGACCTAATTGGTTGGGCTAGGAAGAAAGCAGGACTGATAAGTACCTTAAGAATGCTCATACGGATATTGTGTATCATTGGATACTATCGATAAAATCACTGCTCTCTGATAGGCGGTCTTATCACTCGTATATATTAAAGAGGACACGTAGACAATCAATCAATATAACAAGAACTGATAAATCTGTCTGTTTGATTCAATTGATGTAAGATGAAAGTTTTCTTTATTTTTGAACTTTGCTCAAAACAATAAATTATATTTCTTTTGAATTCTGATTAACTCAACTGTAGGATATAGTTAAGTTGATATGCTGAGTAAAGACTACTGAAATATTGCTAAGTAAATAGTTAATGATAATTGTAAACAATTCTAAATAATTAGTATACAGGGTTTGTGGAGATTGTTGAACTTTCATTGGTTACATCATAGACTGATCTTAGTTAAGTAACCATGAAAAATCAGGAAGCACTGGATTGTTCTTTCGTATTACTATAAAACTTAAGACATTCACTCTTTCACCCTAAAGTTTTGTCTGTGACCATTAAGTTGTGATCCAATGGTGTAAATATCTAATTTTAACTACTTAATGATATGACTGGACTATAATCCATGGGCTGCAGACGTTTCATACTATAACTCTTAGAATCGGATTGGAGAATTAGTCACTATTTGTTCCCGGCTTTCAACGGTTCTCTAACTAGGATCAGCCATTGACATAATCTATGAAAATCCAATATCAGCTCCTTTCATAGAAAAAAATCTTATAAACTGCCAAAAATTTACTTATTCTCAATCATTTGTTACGCTAGGGATTGAAAATTTCAATGTCCTGATTTTCTTTAAACATCATCAGAAATAGATGTTATCAGTAGAAGAGATATAGCAACACATAATGACAAACAAACAAACAGAACATTTTCATCCAGTTGAGTAATTTTGGCTAGCTTCAGAGCATATATTTCTGCAAATTTAACCATGCGATGTATATATATTTTAGTATTCTTGAATTTTCTCAGCCAAATGGTTCAATCACTACATATATATACCCTCATTTATCTTTGTGCATAAGTAACATTTACAGTATTTGATCACTGAATTCTTTTTTTTCTACAGTAAAGTTATTTCAATTTCTGAATAGATCTATAATTTAATAATTCAATACATTTCTATATTCATCCATATACATGAACAATCACGTATGCAGTTTCATACTTTATTAAGTTTAGTAGTTTGTCTGCATGAAAAGTTATATTTACTAAATTATCGATAATCAGAAGGGGATTTGTGGAGATTTCAATATTTTCATAGATTTCAACTACGAAAATACTGAAATCTCCACAAAACCCCTTCTGATTATAATCATAAGCTCACTAGTGACTGACTTCAAGATACATGTCCTGGAGTTCTAGTGAGAAGCAGTGACCAGTGGAGTTCAACCAAGTCTGTTGTAAGATAACAACTCACTGAAGACAATTGGTGAATGGTTGCTCAAACATCGTGGATTGGTTGAAGTTAGACATTAACACCGTTGGATGACGGCTCAGTGGTCTTTCAGTTAAGTGCACTGGCGCGAGACTGGTAGGTTCTGGGTTCGAATTTCGTGAGTGAGGGATCGTGGATGCGCTTCGCTGAGGAGGGTCATAATAGGGCGAAACGGCTGTTCAGTGCTTTCAGGTTTTCCATGATGGTCTAGCTTCATTTGACTCATGATTTCAAGTATGAAAATTATCGATAGTTATACTATCGAAATAATTTTGTGCATATCTAACCACTGAACTAATGAATTCCATGTAAAACTGAATGAAACATTTAGTAGTGAATGATCAATAAATTAGATACTCAATGGTTCTCAACGGTGTATGATTGTATGGTTTTTATAGTTTATTTGATTTATTGAACATTATCATTTGAGTTAATAATGAGTAGTTAGATTGAATGTCATTATTATGGATGAGTTATAGGCTAATTATTTTGGGATTATTATTTATTTAATAATTGGTTCAAATAGCATGTGAAGATTAGTATTTTTTAGAGCTAGAGAGATAAAGAGCTGTTGTTGATATGGATTAATTGAATAGGTTTTTGAAATTTCGATGAGATGCCGTAATTATTGTGGTTTAGAGGTGTCCAAAGTAAAACAGCAACACATTATTATTGTTAAAAGATGATGGGGCTGAAATTTTCAATGAAGATCACCCGATTTTGAATCGGTAACCAAAAGATATCAAACTTGATTTGAGAGTTAGTTGGTTTTTCTTTAATCCTTTGTGGGATTATAGGTGAATGATGTTGAATAATATTGAAGTACGACAGTTGTATATATTATAGTTGAAAGAGTGAGTCAATTGAAGCTAGACCACCATCGAAAACCTGGAAACACTGGACGGCCGTTTAGTCTTATTATGGGACTCCTCAGCAATGCGCATCCACGACCCCGCACTCGCGAGATTCGAACCCAGGACCTACCAGTCTCGAGCCGAAGCCCTTAACCGATAGACCACTGAGCTGGCATCCAACGGTGTTAATGTCTAACTTCAACTGATCCAGGTTTTCCATGGTGGTCTAGCTTCAATTGACTCATGATTTCAACCGTAAAAAAACGATTTTTTTATAATTAAATTATAAAATTTCCTTACAAGTCAACTCTTTACAGTTTCACATTTTAAACACAAATCTCCATATAGATCATTGTAAATAGGAAGTTAAGATTAGATGAACTATTAAATACACAAAATTAAATTACAGTGAAGTATTAAACTTGTACATATGATTGAAATATCAATAATGTAAACTTAGTAAGTTGATCGGATTGATGTCGTGTATATTATCTTTCATATATTACTGACAAAATATGCCGTGAAAATCTTTCAGCATAGGTGAGGTGGAACAAGAAAAAGATTTCATTTTGGATCTACTATCATATAAGTTACTTGATTGAATTATGGTTACTCACTGTTTTTATGTTGTCAGATGCCTACAAATATATATGGATCTGCTTAGTTTTATTGATAATTCTTGATTTCGAACTGATAGCACTCTAGGATCTTGTAGTAAGAGATTACCATCTAAGATCGTAAGAATAGACTGTTTTATACAACTATTTTATCTTATAGATCAAACATACAAATGATCATATTGATTTGTGATCTTTTAAGGTAATAATCTACGATTTGGGCAGTTAAGAAAAACCGAAACTACCAGGAATCTCTCATGTTATAGTTACTTTAAATCAATGGAATATCAGGAGCTACACAATATCTACAGAATATTTTTATTTATTTATTTCTATAGAGTTAACAATATATGTGTTTTTTTAGCCAATCATACTATCGTTTATGAAACAATAGAGATATATCAACCTCTGATTATTTTTACCTCCCAGCATCCTTTTTATCTGGAAAAAATCGTTCTATAATTAAGGCTATCACAGTGAGAAATTGATAAAAAACTATAGATAACATACAAAGTATCTATCTATCTATCTATATAGTTTCCTAATTGTATTTTTACCCCTTCATCATTATTTCAATAAAGGCTACCATTCATAATAGATACAAATTATCTTATTAAGTATAATCTAATCAGTTCATGAATTCTAAATTGTATTTCACTTAAAAAATTAGGATACTAAGGGGTGATCTTCAGATATTAGAGTAAAACCTGATGAGGATCTAATCGAAAATAATATTGTTCGCTTATATATGTTGTTCTAGATAATTATTGATCAATATTATAGAATAAGTAAATAATAATAAACAATATTGATAATCTTACATGTTTTTCGTGTAGATAACCACCATATGATACTGAAAATTTGGCATATGATGCTTTGAGTAATTTGGGTATATTTCTGTAAATAAATAAAATGAATATAATAAAAAAAATAATAATCAATACATGTATATATTGTTTTTATAAAGTAAATAATTATTATAATTTAGTTCTTTACTTTATCGATCTTAAGAACCTACCAAAATCGGGAATTCACTGTAAACACTTTAACCGATATAAGATTTTGTATAATTGAACTCCAGAATATTCGTCTACAGGTAAGGTGTTCGCGCATAAACCTGAAAACTTTGAGTTCAATTTTTGGTAAAGTCGTATACAAATATGGCTGCGGAATCCTATACTAGAACAAAACAGGTATTCAAATCTTCCTGTTTTTTAATAAATGTTTTAACTAAGGTTTGTTCCTAGTATCAGTAACACTCAATAGTCGCCATAATCCTGTAGAATGTTAATGTTTCGTATTAACCCTTTTTTAGAAGAATGAGAATCAGATCTAATGAGTGGTTATTCTTGTTAAAGAGGCATCAAGAGTAAATCTGACGAATTTTCCTTGAACAAATACTTTCATTATGAATTGTCGATAATCAAACAAATAACACATTCTTAAGCTGTGACACTGTTATAAAATTATACATTTGTAAGGGAGGATCACCATCCGATATTATTGTATTTTATTTAGTGAAATTCGTATACTAAACTAGTTTTATTTTGTTGAGGTTGAAAACGGTCTTCCACAAGATTTTTGCATCTTTAGTCTCAAACGGCTTAATACTGATCACTTAAGCACACTTGCAATCTTGAGAGGACTGATATTTCACGTGAATTCGAACCAATGTCACACAAAAGCATTGTCTGAGACATGGTAACTGATGTATTCAGCCCGAATAAGATAGACATATCAGTACCAAAAAACAAACATCCATGATAGTGATAACTACACAATGATCAGTCAGTGAAATCTTTTTAACTGTCACCCATAGGTTTACCAATGCTCTAAAATTTTGATATAATCTTACATAAAAAAGATATCTTCAGTATACAAATTTAAGGTTCCTATCGTCATATAAAATAGCGTTATAAATAATTTAGAAACATGAAATATGAAGTATTTATTATATATACTTTATTCAAAAAGGCTACATATTAACGTTACATAATAAGAGAAGTCTTAGTCAATCATTTGAATACTTATCAATGTATATAAGAGGATATTTTGCATTACTATAAATAACAGTTAAAGTCAGATTATGAGTGATGAATGCATAATCATGATTAAAAATAAAATAATTTTTTTCAAATAACTGCCTAATTAATCCTTAAAAATTTTAAGATAAATAATAATAAATTCACTTGGTATTGTTTGGTTGAATCTTCCAATTGATGTTTAGGACTGTGATTGATCAGTCTCGGTAATGGGTTCCAGTCCCAGTCCTAAACATCAATGAGAAGATTCAAGTAAACAACACCAAGTGAATATAACTTCACCCCATTGTCCATGTAGGTGGCTATCATGGCTCAGTAACTGAGTGGATAACGCGATGGCGTTTAAAGCGAATGGTACTAGTGACGAGTCTCAGAGTGAAAATCAACTCTGAAACGTAGGTACATCCAACTGATGAGTCCCAAATAGGACAAGTTGCGCGTCTTGTATTCCACTGCTATCCACTATCCATCATAGCTCATAAATAATATTAAGTTTTTTACTCATAATACATTGAGTTCTAATTAATTATTTTCAATCAACAGGGAAGAATAAATTAATGATTGTTTTCTTGAAACAAAATACAATTGCATGTAAATAAGAATTAACGTTTTTTTACCTTTTTTGCAAGTATAACTAAAAGATAAATAGTCGCTTGTTAACATGGAAAGATGTGCTCACAAATTTGATCGTATAATTATGTAAAGTAATTCTCCCCCTTCTTTTTTTAACTAATCAATTGTTTTATTCAATAATTGTTCTTTTTCTATATAAAGAACAAACGTTAACTATTCTCATCCAATTCACTTGGTATTGTTTGTTTGAATCTTCCCATTGATGTTTAAGACTGCAATTGATCAGTCTCTTATTGGCATATGTACATACTATGTGTATTGCCCCGATATAGCCTTAATTCACAAGCATGGTAAGCAAAGATGGATATCCATCTTTGTTTATTATCCTCTTTCTTGTCATATTAAGGATAAAACATAAATCATTCACTAATCCAATGATTTTTTTAATTTTCTCTTACAAAATCTATTATGTAACTTTGAACGAGAAAGATTGTTGTATAGTGTAATGAATGAAATATGAATAATGTCAAGCATGAGAATGATGGAAACTGAAGTTTCCATAAAATGACTACTTAAATGTTATACTTGTGTAAATTTCCTTTAGAGTTTATTACAGCTGTTATATATTAGAAAAAGCTATTAAGAATACCACAACTATATGACAAGAGTAATTTATTTTGTCAAATCAACTATTGAGTACACATTATTTAAAAAAGTAAATTCATGAATTACGTAAATCACTATTTCAGTATCCAACAGGTAGGGCTCACATAAGTAATGTTTAATTGATTAGAAGAAAAATACAACATCTGGTCAATTACAATTCTCTTGTTCCAGGTATCTTATTGTTGGAGTTTTTATTATTTGAAATATGGCAATTATATTTGTGCAAACCTCTTTTGATTAAATAAATCTTACTGCATTAAATTTATGATTCTCTGGTTTAAAGTATATAAGTTCAGTCTGAATTTGTTCAAGTTGATTTGGGATAATTTGAGTAATAAAGTATTTTGTAGTTCTAGAAATAACATATGATCGTAAAGTTAAGAATTGCGATCTTGTTTGCAATTATGTGTGTTAAGCTTAAGTGGGGTATGACCAATACAACAACTCACTGATTGTCATTTTAGAAGGTATCCATAGTTTAATAATCATTTGTACTGTAAAATTTACATCAAACAGATTGAATAATATAACTAGAAGCTTTTGATAGTGTTGGTGCCCCCGTAAGTCGACGAAGATATGGAGGTCAGCGCGCCGCAGACTCGACATTCTGACGGCGTTTTGGGCACAGACTGCAGTGAAAGAAGATAGTGGCGTGGCGAGCAGAACCACCGTATGAACGAATGCTTTAAAGGGGGGACGAGTGCGGTGTTGTCTACTTATATCTATATAAGTAGTATATGGTGTGGGCCAGACATAGAATGCATTTTCGCAGAAGACCGATTAGCAAAGAACTGAAATGAAGCGCAATCGTCTGGAAAATGCATGAGCAATGGAATAAGAGAAGAAACAGTGAAAATTGAAACAATTGGTTGTTATTTTGCAAATTGACTGTTCATTGTTTGGTAATCAGAATTTACTGAGATAGTCTGTAATCTTACATTCGATTGTCCCCAACCAGTGTTCTGTTCACAACAATAGCAGTTATTTGAATGCAGAACAAATAAATGTCTTTCATTTTAATATATATATATATATATATTGGTTGTTTAGATCTTCTCATTGATGTTTACGTTGGTAATTGATCAGTATCTTTTGACATATGTTAGTCTTGTACAGACTGCCTCTATATTGTCCCTGATTCACAAGGATTTTAAGCATAGATGGCTAGCGGCTAGCAGTGGAATCCAGAAAGCGCGTTTCATTTCATTTGGGACTCGTTAGTTGAAACATAGAGTTAATATTCACTCCACAACTCAAACCTAGTATTGTTCACTTCAAACGCTGTCATATCATTCAAAAGTTCTGGATTTCCCTACTAACCAACATCCATTTCTGCTTAAAATGCTTGTGACTTACTGGTATTATCTAGAAAATCCACACAGGATGTACATATGCTATGGAAGAACGATAGATTATAATCCTAGACATCAGTGGAAAGATTCAAACAAACAATATCTATGAGTAACCTTTAAAATTAACACCTGTTCCTCGTAGCTAAGTGGATAAAGCGATGGCGTTTGAAAAGGAATGTACTGGGGTCAAGTCCCGGGATGAACATCAACTCTGGGATAAAGGTAGGACGCGCTGCACACGTTGAACTCTGTTGCTATCCACCATCCATCTCTGCATGAAACTTCCTACATGTCCACAAGTCAGAATCATTTTATCTATAAAGTTAACTTTTTATCATATGCATAGATCAGACTCCGAAAATCCACCAGATATTGAAATAAACAGCAATTCACAAATTATGGGCAAATGATTTTTTTAAAATCATGAACTTATCTAAGTTGTATAGCTACTGAAAACCTAGAAGCACTGGGCAGCTGATTCGTCATAATATGGTGCTCCTCAACAGTATGCATCCACTACTTCATCACAGACGAATAAACCCAGAACCTTCGGTTTTGTGTGCAAACGCCTAATTTGTAAACCATCTTATCGTGATTCAATCGATGTTGTGCAAGTTTAACTTTAAACAATCAGCTATTGGTCAATTAAATGTTTATTCATAACTTATATTATATAACAAACGATCATATTGCTTATTTTTAATATCTGTACTATAATGCATGGTTTAATAAGAGTTATTCATTTTATTAGTGAAATAATATTATTCATTGCCGTAAGCATAAACATATCTGAAAAAAAAGCTACCCAAGTGTATAGTATTTGTTTTTCTCATTGGAAATTAATGAAGGGGTTTATAAAATAAAACAGATTGACAATGACGTGAAATCATAACTTTGATCTAATGAAGCAATGAAATTGATGGATTCATTATGGTAAAAATTAACTCTGTTTATCAATTTTAGGTCTCAAGAGCATAAACTTATGGCGAATGATAAACAACCTAATATTTTCGTCAGCTGTAGAATATTACAGTTTCTAATTTTTGTACAGAATCTATGATATTCCTATAAAATGAATGTGTAAATGTTCAGTTCAGATGAATAACTTGATCGTTAGATTGTTTCATTCATTTTAACTTATTATATCACAAAAACTCTGAAAAAAAAACACTTGGTATTGTTTATTTGAAGCGTTTGAAGCGTAAGATACTGGGTTCGAGTCCCACAGTGAACATCAAGTCTGAGATGCAGGTAAATCCAGATG